GATGAAATTTATCCATAAAGTTTCAGGGTTCTGACAAAAGAAGCTCGATCATTCAGGGTTCCACAATCGAAAAGAATTAGGAACCACTGTATTAGTTCCCAGACAATAGTTGTTGTTCAAATATGATAAGTCAAATATAAAACATAATTTTATTCTTTGATATTGTGACAGAGAAACGAATTTTTTTATTTACATTGTGTATATAAATAGTAGAATTTAGTGATGACATTAATATTTGCAGTTTGAATTTTTGCAGTTCGTTAAATATAATTATAGCAGAGTTGCCAACTTGTATCGCTTTGTGGAAAAAAAATTTCTGGGAGCAACAGTATAGCTAGGTAAAAACGAATATTTTAGTTTCTCCATGACAATTCAAACATTTTTGGCGAGCTTTTGGCGATTTTCCTCGTCTTCAATAAGCGTCAACAATGATTCGTGCACCATATAGTACAGATATGAAAAGCTCAGCATCACTATAGATAGGGTTAATTTATAGACTTGCCGTGATCGAATATTATAGAGTATTACTTGGTGCTCCAAATGTCGCTTATTTTGTTTGAAAATTCTAAGAGAGCAGCTGTTTTTCATAAAGGTTTGTTTAATTTTATTAATATTTTAAAAAATTTGTTCGATTTTTAAAATTTTCACAACATTTTAAGGTTCTATTGATGTATAGATTTAAAGAAATGTGCAAGTAAATTGGGAAATAAAGATGATATAAAGGAAGTCTTATTAAATAGCATTTCATTATTAGATAACCTTTTTACTTATTTTGGTGAAAAATTTTATCTGTTTTTTTTTTTAAATTATAAGTAAAATTAGTTTTTTTAAGTGGAAAAAATTTATTGTTTCATTCCAAACAAACTTTGTAAAATATTTAACTCAAGGTAATTTCAGTGATTTCAAACTTAAAAATCATCAACTACCTTATTTGTTTCCCGATCTTAACCCTAGAATTTAGGCGTATTAAAACAACTTTAAATATACTAGTTTTAAATATAATTTTTTATATATTTTTCTACAATTAGAAAATATTTTAAATAATACACTAAAAGATTCGCTTATAAATTTTTCTGCTTTGAAAAGATCACAAATATGTCTTTATGTTTTGAGTACGTACTAATTTTACATAGAAAAATGAATGATGAAATTTATTGCAAATTAAAGATTTAAGAAAAGTATTTTGCTTATTATATAAAGCTAATATTTTTTATGGTGAAAATAAATTTCTGATTAATTAGGAAGTCCACTCATCATTAAGGAAGGTAAATATTAAAAAATAAATAAAACGAAGTAAGATCAAAATAATCAACTTGGTGATTTGCAAATTTGAGCTCAATATTTTTTTTAAAATTTTGTAGACACCCTTATCTGCAGTTCTAGATTCTACAGTATTCTGGGAGGCTTCCAAGTGTGGTCAAAAATAAACAGATCAGGTTAACCTTAAAGTGTTAATCGGCTCTCGCTTTAAGTAATCTGGGAAGCTAGGATATCTATCGGACTAAAATAAAAAAATAATCACATCACTAATGAAATATTCATTGCACACATAACTACTTCAATTACGTTTTCAGTCTATTATTGCAATATAATATACTTGATTAAAATAATTCAAATAATATACTTGATAATTGGGAGTAGGCTCTTGATCAAGGTTTCGTGATGATGATGTCCATTCTATTAAAATATAAATTATAATCAAAAACTTTATTGTGATGCTCTTTATAAACAAAAAATATAGTCTCTAAATCTAAGCAAAAAATAAATAAATGACCAATATTTTTCATTTAATTAACTTTGTTTTTTAATAAACTTTGTTCATGTTACACACATTTAATAATAAATGGTTAATGAAATCGATAAATACAAATAGACATGTAACATTAGTCTTCCTCTTAAGAATGACTATCTCAAAAAAATAAGTAAAGAATCAATATTTTTTATTTAATTCATTATGTCTTATTAATATTCAAGACACATGTTATACATATGTATAAATAAATAGAAAAAGAAATCGATAGATATAAATAGACATGCAACATAAGTCTTCCTCTTAAGAAAGGCCCGAAAGAGGGTAATAATAATGATCAAAGCATTTTATGAGGTCTTCAGAGAGAAAATTGAGTGCAGACTTGACCACTAACATCCTGACCTCCAGGACAGCGTGAAAAGCACCTTATTAGTACCCTAACCCCTCCTCCATTTCTCCTCCTAGGAATGTCGGGGGATAAAGTGATGAAGAACAAAGCAGGCGAGATTCCCGTTGTCATGGGAACGGGATGCGGAGAACAAATGGATTTTCTAGAAATGTGGTTGTTTGTGGATCTAAGCTCAGGATCGTTTTTCATTCTAAGCCTAAAGCACCATATAGTAGTTGTTGCCGATTCTTAAATTGTGGTCTGGGCTGTTCCCTTTTTGTTTTTTCACATGGCATTTCGAGTCATTATCGAATGTTAACTTCTATTGAGTCTAGAATATTATTTATGTAAATATTTACTTTTCTAATGGTTTGTAGATTTAATAAAGTTTCAAATCATTAGAATTCATATCCATAAATTTTATCAATTTAACTTATATTCATCCATTAGATCAATATAGTCAATATTTATATTTTAATCATAGCTATTCATTCTCATCTTTCACCCAATATTTTTTCATTATAATTCTCATTATAATAGAATCTCATATCACCCAATATTTCATCATTATAATTAATATTATTTCTAAAAAATTTATATTAATATCAGTATAATTCCAATTCATTCATTATAGTTTTATTGTCCTTCCTATTTATTAGAAATATTTTTTTATAAATTTTACTTTATTATTTCTTCACAATAGTATATATAATTATAGCTCATATTCATCTATTTTATAAATAAAAGCCATATGTGGTTTTGATAGTTTTATTATTGTAAATTATATCCATTTATAATATACTTAATAACTGTAATTCGTATTCATTAGTGATAGTTTAATTCTATACTTTAAGTATAAGAATAAGGCAATCAAACGAACAGTGGAATTAAAATAAAATTTAAATTAAATAAGTTTAATAAAAATATAAATTAATTTTCGTTACCATTACAGATATCGTAACAAAATATATATTAATTAAAAACATTTTTTGTTTCAAAATAAAATGTATCGGTACCCGTCATATTTTTTCATAATAGTAATATTTTTGATTTGATTTCATACTGAAAATATAAAATTTACATTGTGATATGCGGTTCAGCTCTTCGAATAATCAAAATAACGCAACGTTATTTCCCCCGGTGCTTAGAATTATTATAAGGATTTTGAATACTTATCGAAAAAAAAAATAAATTATTCTTACTCATTTTTATAAAATAACAAAGGGGTATAAATAAATGTTAATGTGAGTCATGAGAATTTATAAAATAGGCATTCAAAAGTTTCATTAAATTTATGATTTACACCTTAAAAAATTATAAGTTATAATTAGACAAAATAATTAAGACGCAGGCTTCTGACTTAAATAGGAAAAAGTTGAATAAATCCAGATCTCAAAACATTTTTATTTATTATTTTTTTTGTTGAAAAATATCATAAATACGAATTTAATTTCTTCCATCAAATAATGATTTAAAACATTTTATTACTTAATTTACTAATGATCGAAAACATTTTGAAATATATTTTATTAAATTTTTATAAGCTCTGTAGCTGCGTATTTCTCAAATAACGAACCCAAATAAATCATTGAATAATTCTTTAAAAATAACAATTTAAGAAAGTAAGTTTATTTTATGTTAAAAAAAAGAATAATATTGCTTTTAACTATAAATTTTTTTAAAAAAATTCAAAATATAAAGTGTTTTGAATACTTCTATACCTTATAACTAAATTTATTTAAGATTTCGTATCTAATATTAGTTAATAAATAGATTCGTTAAAATTATTTAGTTTAGCGGATGTATCAACCATCATTAGAATGTTATTAAAGAATAATTATTAAAAACTATTCTGCATTAGAACACCTTTGGTTGAAATAGGTTACAAATTGTTTTCAAAAATGTTTTAAATCACGTAATTGATACCAGGAATATAACGATAAGCGCAAAATGTAAAAAAAAGTATTTTGCAAACTGAAATTGTAAAGTTCCTCTTGACTGCACTTTTGAGAACATTCTTTCTATTTATTTAACCAAGTCCTATATTTCGAGGGTCTTGTATTTTAAGTCCTATATTTAAAGGATCCCTTTCAATAGAGTCTATTTTGTTGTTGTTGTTACTCATGCCAATACCAACATTCATGTTTGATGATGGGCTCCCTGTTCTTCAGTGGCGCCATCTATGGCCATGAATACGACTTCAACCACGCACAAGTCTGCCTGTTTTACAGAGAGGTCTCATTCATACTCTATTCTTTCATCCACAGGTTGTAATTTTGACCTAAACTGGAGAACGATAAATCCCCTATTCACCACCCACAGAAGTATTGATTTGTCATGGAAACTTGGAGGACTTTGTGCCCCGACAAATTTAACGTCAACCAATCACTATTTAATACACGAAGATTTTTCTATCGACGAGCCCAATGTTATTCAGATTATTTTCGGCCGCAGAATCAATTTTAATGAATAAGATGGAACAAAAATTATAAGAAAATAGTAATTTGTCGCTGAATAAATAAGGAAATTTCAGGCTTACATTTATCCGTAGGTTAACAAGGAGAAATATTTTCAAAATTTTTCATTAAGGGGACGCTTAAGGATTTGAATAAAATATGGGTTTATGTAGCAAAAGTGTTATTTTGTAACTTCATTCATAGGTAACCTTAATCATGAATTAGCGTTGCGTAAGCTGTCTGAACTACCTAGTAAGTATAATGCAAATGAACATTAAATTATTAGTTATTCAGAGAGATTTAGTGTAGCTGTTTTCTTTGGAATTTCGAAAAAAAATGCAGTTTTTCTTAAATATTTAATTTAACGAATAATGTGAATAACTTGTACCTATTCTCCACCTTCTAGGTCTACCCCATGGATGCAAACCGCCACCCCTTGCAATGCAACATCCCTGCAGTACTCCACAAAAACCCAGAACAATGGCTGCAGTATCACCTCTTCACCAAGTTGTACCACCTCAACCCAACATTCCATCTTACGACAACACAAATCTCGCCTTCAACTCAGCTTCTAGAACCTCCAGTTTTGCTGCAGCACTGCGAAAACTTGCCAAGCAAGCTGGGGATCCTGTTACTGGTCAGTTAAACTATTCTTTAGACTACTTACTTCTAAGTAAATGGTGATAAAATTTTATTTTAATTTCAAAATGTCACTTATTAATTTGCGAAAAATATCGTCAAAAATGTCGTAAAATTGAATAAAAAATTCTCTTTTGCATTTGCAAAAAATTTCGTCAAATTGTGTCAAAAGTTTACGTATTCATTTGCGAAAAATTCTGTCAAATCGTATCAAAATTTCTCTTGTTCATCTGCGGAAAATGTCGTCAAGTTGAGTCAAAATTTCGCTTATGCATTTGAGAAAAGTTTCGTCAAATTGTGTCAAAACTTCACTTATTCATTTGCGAAAAATACCGCGGAATTGAGTCAAAGTGTCACTTATTCTTTTGCGAAAAATTCCGACCAATTGTGTCAAAGTTTCACATATTCATTTACGCACAGTACCCTTACACCAAAAAACTCCCCTCAGATTAATAAAAATCGGAAACTAGAAATAAGACATAAATTCCTAATAAATAAATATAATTAAAAATAAAATATAAATGTGTGTTTGCCGAACAGTACTTCATCAGGGGACACACTGCCTGCAAACACACAGGAGCTTACCTTTCCAATTTGAATTAANCACATTTATATTTTATTTTTAATTTTATTTAATTATTAAGAATTTATGTCTTATTTCTAGTTTATATAATACAAATTTGGTTTCAGCTGCCTTGTGCGCTTTTCCAATTTGAATTAATGAAGTAAAGTTTCAGTGTGTTTATTTACCTCTTAGTTATCAATATTGACTTAGTAATTTGTTTCGATTTTGTGATTGGATAAAAATCAGAAATTATTACTCTAATTACCTTATTTTATGGGACCATCAATTAAAGAAACACATACCAAAAGTACCTACTAAATACATAGTAAGCATATTCACTAGCAGGGATGCTAAACTTAAAATGTAAGAATGCTAGAAACGCAATTTCAATAATATATATTTTTTAATTTGTTTAATTATTCTACCGTAACTACCATCATGACTTACACTACAAATTATTCACTTTTAAACAGAAAACAAATAACCAGATCGAGTAGAGTCGACTGAAAAAAAATTGCTAAAACAAGTTGCTAAATAAAAAATTTTTTTAACACCACTTTTGGAACAGTGAAAATATTTTCTCCACTGAGTAAAGAAACTTACTCTTGACATTGCATTCACTCTGCGTGACTGCGTTTAAGTCACGCTAGTGAATCTTTAAGTATTAAAATAAAAAGTAAATATTATGCATTAAACAATTATAAATGTGCTTGATTATAAAATAACTTAAATATTTAAATTTTACTGGTGGATAAAATTTTTGAAATTTAATATAAATAAATATAGTATTCAGATTCGTTATCATCTCCGGTTTTTGTCTGGTGTTTCCCCCCCCCCCCAACTATTTAAATTGTAGAAAATTTAACACAAGGTTTACGGACTTTTCTTATATACCTATCTCTACGAACACGCGCCATTTTGACGCATGAACGAATACATGTATATACGAATAAATATTTAATAAATTCAATTTAGTAGATTTTTATCCACCAATATTTCGAAATAATTTGTAGGCTTATAAAATTCGCCACTTTATATTTGAAAAATATACTTAGTAGTTATTTACCGTTTTTTTTTAATTATTTTGGCGTGTCCGGAGCAGTGTAATTATATACTATATGAATAAAAAATTAAAATATGAGATATATATTTATGAAGTATTCTAGTATTTTATTTTTCAATACTCGAACTAAGCAACTGAAACCTTCAAAATCTGACACTCCGACATCAATTGACATTCTGCGTTTGTGCTTTCTATTATTGCTCATCGGCAACAGTTGTTTATCGCTTGTTTCATTTGAGATAACGGATCGAAGTATTTTCGGTACATTCCTATTTATTATTGATGCGATGTTTGCATGTTTACTCAAAATTTTGTCTAAATTACGATTGCGTCAAATTGACGCATATCCGCAGAGATAGGTATACCACAAAAAGAATTTCAACATTTCAACGCTTTTGAAGAAAGTAGACTTCAATATATATTTACCTCGATCAATGGATAAAAGTCAATACAAGAGATAAAATAAAAATTCAAACGGGTTTTGTAATTTTCCTTACAAAACTCGAAATGCGTCAAAATGACGCGTCCCGTAAACCTAGTGTTAAAGGATTAACNATTTCTTATATACCTATCTCTACGAGCACGCGTCAATTTGACGCACGAACGAATACTTCACTAGCAGAGATGCCAACTTGCTCCGGACAGCAAATATATATTTTAAAGTGATAGTTTATCAATTGTGATTCTTGGCTTAATAAATTCAATTTAGTAGATTTTTATCCACCACTATTTCTAAATAATTCGTAGGCTTATGTCATTCAGCACTTTATAGTACTTATGTCATGCAATGCCTTTTAAAAGGCAAGCAAAAATAATAAAAAATTTGTAAAACTTACTTTAGTTATTTACCGCTTTTTTAATTATTTTGGCGTGTCCGGAGCAGTTGGCATCTCTGCACTAGGTTTACGGACGTTTCTTATATACCTATCTCAACGAGCACGCGTCAATTTGACGCATGAACGAATACATATATATACCAATAAATATTTAATAAATTCAATTTATTAGATTTTTATCCACCACTTTATCGAAATAATTTGTAGGCTTTTAAAATTCGCCACCTAATATTGTCAAAATATACTTAATAGTTATTTGGCGTTTTTTAATTATTTTGGCATGTCCGGAGCAGTTGGCACCTCTGCACATAGAAAGCAGTGTAATTATATCCTATAAGAAAAAAAAATGAAAATATGAGATATATATTTATAAAATATTCTAGTATTTTATTTTTCAATACTCTAAGCAACTGAAACCTTCAAAATCTGACACTCTGACATCAATTGACATTCTGCGTTTGTTCTTTCTATTATTGCTTATTGGCAACAGTTGTTTATCGCTTGCTTCATTTGAGATAACGAATCGAAGTATTGTCGGTACATTCTTATTTATTATTGATGTTTGCTCGTAATTTTGTCTAAATTACAATCGTGTCAAATTGACACATATCCGTAGAGCAAAACATTTTAGAGGTATACCACATAAAGAATTTCAATATTTCAACGTTTTTGAAGAAAATAGACTTCAATAAATACTTACCTCAATCAATGGATAAAATTCATTACAAGAGATAAAATAAGAATTCAAACCTAAGCCTTTTTAATAAAGAAGTATTTGGAGTTGAATAATGATTAAAATTTTTTGAAGTTTATTTATAATGTTTTAATTCCATTTACGTTACACAGAAAATTTGCCGGTCAGCGAAGTGTTAACTTCGCATGAAAGTGTTTACTAATATGTTACAAATTACATGGAATTGAGTGATTAATACGAGGATTAACACAAGTGATTAAAAATGAAATAAGTGGTAGAAACTTAATTCATTTTTATTGATTTATAATTTTTTATTAATAAATTGTATATACCACTGTGACTTACATTTTAATTTATTCATATTTACACTTTCAATAGAGCACTGAAAATTATATACAGGGTTGCCGCAAGTGACTAAAATTGCCAAACGTGGTGACTAATACAATTCTAAATTTGATTAAAAAGGATTAACATACCCGCCAATTTTTAAGCATTTGGCGCAAAATTTTATTTCGGTATTTAAAGTGGTAGTAAAATGTATGCTTTCTATATATTCCTTTCATTTATAAACTTAATTTATAATCTTTTTGACCCACCACTATTTTTACAAAAATTAATCAAATCATATACGTACCTGCCAACTTTTAATCCCTTCCATTATTACTTTTCCCAGTGGTGTTAAAATGGAATTAAAACTTCAATTTTAAGCAAACAAATACGTTGTATTTGAGAAAACTTAAGTTGACAACCATGACAGTACCGCATATTAATATATGTGCTTAATTTTTGTAAAAATAGTGGTAATCAATATCATTTAAAAATTAAGATTATAAAAGAAAAAAATAGTATATAATTACTATCACTTTAAATATGAAAATAAAATCTTCCGGAAAATCCGGAAGAGTTGGCAGGTATGCATATATAATAATATGCAATACTGATTTGGTAGTCCGCATAAGCATATTCAAAATACAGTGTATGTTTCTGCTTAAAATTGCAATTTAAATTCCATTTTACTACCACAGGGGAAAATCATCCTCGAAGGGATTAATAACAGCTACGTTTTCTTGCATTTTTATTTTGGTTACAATTGAATGAAAATGCAATTTTTAATTTTGTTTTAAAAAACAGCAGTTAAAAATGTAAGTCATAGTGGTAGTTACGATTGATTAATTAAATAGATAATAAATAAACAAACGTGAATTAAATTGCTACCACTTTTTACATTTTAGTCACCTGTAGCATACCTGAATATATTATAAAAAGTTTCCATTTTAATATCTTTTAATAAAATTTTGAATTTTATTGGTCACCACTTTTTGCATTTTAAGTGACATGCGGCAATCTTTTGAAAAACAGAAATATTTTAATTTTCTATATTAGCCTCGTGTCCATAATAATCCACATAATCCCGATTTAATTTATACGCCTGTTTGCAAAGGTGCCAACTGCCCTACTTTCTGCAGCAATTTTAATAAATTGGTAGTAAATTAAATAGTAATACTTGTAGAGTACGGAAAACTACGCTTGCTCTTTAACACTAATAATACCATAACGGGTCAAATGACCCATTTTGAATTTTTGCAATGAAAATGCGCGTATCATCTTATTACTTCTGCAAATTTGACTTTATGACTTTTTATTACTAATTAATCTACAGTTCTTGTACTATTTTTATATTTTTTTTGTTTTGTTTATGTTGAGTATACCGTTGTCAACCACATCGGGTCATTTGACCCTGTGAACCTTTTTTGTTTTATAAGCTTATCGATACATATTGTCTATCGTATTGTCTATCGTATTGTAGCAGGCCTGAAAGCGGGACGGAAAAGAGAAAATA